TTTTTTTCTTAAGTCAGTGAATGTCATAAGTTGGAGAAAACTTTAAATGTAGATTAAGACTTGTGTCTTGGTGCCAAGGTGAAGATGATAGTACATGGACTTAGCATTTGAAAGACCCTGGGTTCCATCCCCAGCCCTGGAAAGAAACCCTTGAATCTTCAGAGTGTCCTTCAGTAATCATTTTCACAGATTGCATGCAGGTATTGTTTGTTCAAAACTTAATTTTGCTTAAACAATTCAAAAATCCTCTGATCTAAGAAGCCCCAGGAAAGTAATGAAAAAAGCTCTGGTGGAGAGTGTCCACCCTGTGCCTCTCGAGGGAACTCTGAGTAGATGTAGGACTGACTTTCTCCTGAATTCAGCTTCCATGGGGAACACGATCTCTGAGTGTGATAAAGCTTTGTCTTCACGTTTTCCTTAACCGACAGGAGCAACCACAGCCTGGAGAAGATCTCTATGAATATAATGAGCCAGGGAAACCCTTTTATATTATAGACCACTTTTTCAGGACCAGACAATTCCTTCTGGAGAGACCCCCCCCCCATGAATGTCAAGAGAGCAGGAAGTCCTTCTTCCAGAACACTCACCTAATCACACCTGAAAAACTCCGCAGCATGGATAAGACTTATGCATGTGACCAGTGTGAAAAGTCCTTCTGCTACAGCTCTGACCTTCTCAGGCACGAGAAGACTCATACTGCAGAGAAATTCTTCCAGTGCCAAGAATGTGGACAGGCCTTCAAGTATTCCTCGAATCTGCGAAGACACCTGAGAACTCACACCGGAGAGAAGCCCTTTGAATGCAGTCAGTGTGGGAAAACCTTCACCAGGAACTTCAACCTAATTCTGCACCAGAGAAACCACACAGGAGAGAAGCCCTGTGCATGCAAGGACTGTGGGAAAGCCTTCAACCAGCCCTCATCTCTCCGGAGCCACGTGAGAACTCACACTGGAGAGAAGCCCTTCGCATGCAGCCAGTGTGGGAAAGCCTTCAGGGAACACTCGTCCTTGAAGACGCACCTGCGGACTCACACCAGAGAGAAACCCTATGAGTGCACTCAGTGTGGGATGCCCTTCAGGACCAGCACACACCTGAACGTGCACAAGAGAATCCACACGGGGGAGAAGCTGTATGAGTGTGTGACCTGCGGTCAGGTCTTGAGTCGTCTGTCCACGCTTAAGAGTGACATGTGTACTCACATGGGAGAGAAGCCCTACTAGTGCCAGGAGTGTGGACGAGCCTTTAGTGAGCCCTCGTCCCTCAGGAAACATGCGAGGACTCATAGCGGCAAGAAGCCCTATGCGTGCCAGGAGTGTGGGCGAGCCTTCGGCCAGTCTTCACACCTCATTGTGCGCGTGAGAACCCACATCTCGGGGAGACCCTACCAATGCAATCATTGTGAGAAAGCCTTCAGGCACAGCTCCTCACTTGCTGTGCACAAAAGGACACACAGTGGCAGCGAGAACATCAGGAAAGGTGGCTTGCCTTTGTCAGCGTCTCACTCCTACAGCGGCCCCTCGTCAGTTAGCTGTGGGTTTGGAGAAGTGTAAACATTTGGGTTGTTCTCAGAATACTTGTTAGCATGTGTCTCATATTTTTACATCCAGCAAGTGAAACCAGTTCTTCTTACATGAAAAGAATATGTTTCTTACTAACACAAGACATTGGTTATGAGGAAAGAATAGGAGAGAATGTGGGTGCTTTTATTTATTTAACTGGAGTACAAATCCCTAACTGACACAAACAGCATGTCCATTTACATAAACACTTCATGCTTTGTGATGTTGTGGTGAAGAGAGGCATGATGATCCTTGAGACACTTTGGCTATTTCCTATTGCAAAAGTGACCTATCCCATTGCCTAAAGGCTTAAAAAATGTCAAAAGCAAAGATTCATTCAAAAACTCATGAACCAGAGATAAACATTTTGCATTTGGAAAAATATGTATCTGCATTTTATTTAGAAAATTGGAAGGATTAACATATTTAATGGATTTTATTTAAGGCAAAAAATTCTGATTTAAATTATTTTTGGAATGAAAACAATATTATTACTAATGTAGCACAGAGTGTGGGGTTGGGTTCTTTCTCTCATATATTTAAAAAAGAAACTTCCATGGACACAAGATTGAGAGCAAAGTAACAGGATTTATTAGAGAAATAGAAAGCGGAGCTCCCCAAGAGGGAGGGGTCCCAGAGAGGGACACTGAAGTGTGGCTGTTGTCTAGGGGTTTATATAGATCTAGAGGTTTAAGGAAGTCAACCCCCTGCCCACTTCTGGCATGGCCCGCAGTGTCCATGCAGCCTTCAGTCCAGTCAAAATATCCATCAAGCATTTTTTCTTCTGTGGAGAGGCAAGGACCAGAGTCACATAGGTCCTGGCTTAAAAATAGCCTTTTTGTAAGTTTCTTAGCAACTATCTGCAGGTGCTGTTTGTACTCACTGCCCAGGAAGTGACCCAGGCCCATCTCCCTGTCTGCTCAGTCTTATCTCCTCCTCCTGATTTCACTAACACATCTGTCATGACATTATTGGGGATCTATTTTCTTGGCAATTTGGCCACGACTTCACCGGTATGAAAGATTTAAGTGGAATACAGCATTCTTGGGAGCCTTCCACATCCTGAAAAGTCCAAATCCCACATAGGGCATGCCATCTTCCTTGGAGACACCGCAATATTTCCATACAAACCTTTTATGTTTTCTTTTCTTCTTCTTTTTTTTTTTGTTAAAAAGTTTAAAGCACATTCAAGTCCTTTTAAAGGTTGTGGATGTGAGCATTGTGGGAGGCTGGTTTTCTTGCTTCTAGAATTTTTGCATGGAAGAGGCCTCATAGGAAGAGGGGGCAGTAGAAGTACTTTTAACAGAGAAACTGAGGAATTGGGCTGCAGATGGCATCTGGATGTTGAGTTTGCTCAGCACCATGTCGGGCATGAACAGACTTCAGGTTCTGCAGGAGTTGAATGTCAATCATGTCCTCCATGAATCCCTTCAGATGGCCAACACCATGGATTTCTTGAAACACACAGCACAGAGACTTTGTCCTTTCCTAATGGCTAAAAAGTGACCCAGTGGCGGTTCAGAGTGTCCATGGGGAAGGAGGCTGTAGCTCATGGTCTTTCTAATCAGTCTGGAATGATAATTATTTAAAAATGACATATAAGATTGTAGAAAAGTAACTTACAAGTTTCGTTTAACAAAGGAAAGAAGAATTGGTTATATATATTTTAATTGCTTGGTTTATAAAAAGGAATATGAGATGGTGGATAAGTTAATTTGCTTTTTTACAGTAACCATTTTATTTTCTGTATGTATCCTATATTCATGTGGCACACCTCAAATATACACAGGGAATTTTAAAATTATATCTGTTAAAACTGTTGTGCCTGGGGGATGACCACTGGCAGATCTTATCCACCATCCTGCTCCCTAGTTTTGAAATGTTTAGTCAGCAAATAATAACCATATATGTTTATGGGGTTTAC